GCTCACAAAATTGCCCTTGTTTGATAAGCAGGACATTGTCATTGTGGAGAAGGACTCTTTAGTAAAGCTTTCGTGGGTGTTTTTCTGTCAATGGCTACCAAGAAATAGATGTGGTCCAGTCAAAGCAAAAGCAGGCCAATCAAGAGAAAAGGTTATGGCAATAGTCTTTCAAGATGCCGATAGCATTTTGCTTGTTGCCTTTCTGGAGGGCCAAAGAATGATAACATCTGCTTATAATGAGAGTATTTTGAGAATGTTAGCCAAAGCTTTAACAGAAAACGCCCTCTTTCTTCTCTTGTTCTCACACATGGTTTCTTGCCCTTCCACTATGTTGTGAAGCAGCAAGAAGGCCCTCACTAGATGCCAGGCAGACTCCAGCACCATGCTCATGGACTTCCCAGCCTTCAGAATTGTGAGCCAAATAAATCTGTTTTCTTTATAAATTACGTAGTATGTGGTATTCTGTCATAGAAGCATAGACTGTACTAAGACATTTGCTATGATATTAGGCAGTCACTTCCTCTGATCTTTATTTTCCTCACTAATAAACAGGGATAACCATATCCACCTGCTAGGACTATTTTAAGGATTAACTGACATAAGATGCCTGGTACACTGCTGGGAATGTAATGAACGCTTAAAATACTCAAGAAATGGAAGCTTTCTTCATTCTCCTAAGCTTCATGTAGTACTCTTTTAAAAAATTTCAAATTTTTAAATTCCTGTTTATTCATGATGACTGACTTCACTTTTCAGAACCATCATCAGAGAAGCTAAGTGTCATCCTGCTTTGACCGTTTGCCTTAAAGCTTTTCCTATAGACCTGTCAAGTAGTAGAGTTTGGACCCATGGCTGCAATGCCTGCCAGTGGGTCTTTTGGGCTCTAAGAAATATTCAGACTTACAAGATTATCTTAGGCCACTGTGGCATCAGCCTGTTCAGATGGATATAGTTTAGGGACCCAGCTTACCAGCAGGGCAGTGTCAAGACTTCCTCTTTTGCAGAGTCCTTGCTGCAGGCCATACAATTCAGGTGCAAGGAGAAGAGATCCACATTAGTGTAAGGGTGGGAGCTGTCCTAAATTAAAAGCTTTATGTCCCAAAGGAGACAATTTCTCTTGCAATAATTTCATAGACATAGCTTCTAGGGTCATGTGAAGGAACACACACATGAGAAGAGTCACCATACTTAGGGAAGCCCAATGCATGGAGTCTCTATAAGATATTTATAGTTCACTTATAGTTCCTTCCAGTCAAGATGCCAATTAGGGATTTTTTTTTTCTTGGCCTAAAAACACAGTTGGTGTTCTTACTCTTATCAGGTTGGCAAGGAGAACAGAGTTAGAAAGTTTAATTGAAGGTTGAATTTTCATGCAGAGAGAGAAAGGGTTCTGTTAACCCTTTTCCTATAACTTCTAACAGAACCAGCTTACTCACTCATCATGCTAGCCAATCTGATCACAAATTAATTATAGTACTTACTACTCCTGAGAACCCAACAATTTGGTATATCCCACTATAGATAGGATCTATTACTGTCTAAACTGGGCTTCCCCTTCTTGTTTGGAACATTTATTTCTTATATCTTACTTTAGATGTATCATTAGATTGTTAATTTGTGATCTTTCTCTCCTTTTGTTGTAGGCATTTAAGGCTATGGATTTTCCTGTTAGGGCTGCTTTTGCTGAATCCGACAGATTTTGATAATTTGTGTCCCCTTTGTCATTCAGTTCGAGGAATCTTTTGATTTTCATCTTAGTGTCATCATTGATCCAATAATTGTTCAGCAGGAGGTTGTTTAATTTCCATGACTTTGTGTAAAATTGGATGTTTCTCTTGGTGTTGATTTCTTGTTTTATTCCACTGTGATCTGAGAAGATACATGGCATGATTTTGATTTTTTTGAATTTATTGAGCTGTGATTTGTGGCCTAAAATATTGTCAATCTCAGAGAATGTTCCATGTGCTGATGAGAAGAATGTGTAATCAATAGTTTTTGGGTAAAATGTTCTGTAAATGTCTATTAAGTCCATTTGTTCTAGAGGCACATTTAAGACCATTGTTTCTTTTTTTATTTCTGCTTGGATGATCTGTCCAGTTCTGTCAGTGGGATTGAAGTCCCCGACAATTACGATGCTGCTATTTATCTCTTTGCTTAGACCTAGTAGAGTTTGCTTTACGAATCTGGGTACTTCTGTGTTTGGTGCATAAATATTGAAGATTGTTATGTCTTCTTGTTAAATTGCTCCCTTAACCATTATATAATGATTATCTTTGTCTTTCTACTTAAATCTACTATTGTCGATCTAAAGTCAATTTTATCTGGTACAAGAGTGGCTACACCTGCTTTCTTTTGGTTGCCATTTGCATGAAATATTTTTTTCCATCCCTTAACCTTGAGTCTGTAAGAGTCCTTGTGAGTTATATGTGTTTCCTGGAGACAGCAGATTCTTGGGTTATATATTTTTTAATCCATTCATCTAGCCTATGTCTCTTGAGTGGGGAATTTGAACTGTTCACATTGATTGATAGAATTGATTTGTGGGATGCTGTTCTGTTCATCTGGTTGGATAGTACTTTGTTGCTTCGTTTTACCTCTTGTACTAGTGTTTTATATGAGCTCTGAGCTTTAGCTTTTGGGTGGTTTTACATTGTTATGTGACCATTGTGTTGAACCATGTATAATGCAGTTGTGAGTATTTTCTGCAGGGCAGGTCTAGTCTTGACAAATTCTCCCAGTGTTTGCGTGTCTGGAAAGGTCTTTATTTCTCTTTCATTTATGAAACTTAGTTTTGCAGGATACAAAATTCTAGGCTGGCAGTTGTTCTGTTTGAGAAGACTGAAGATGGGGCCCAATCCCTTCTGGTTTGTAAGGTCTCCATTGAGAAGTCTGCAGTTAGCCTGATGGGTTTTCCTTTGTAAGTTACTTGATGTTTTCTCCTTACGGCTTATAGGAGATCCTCCTTCCTGTTGACTTTGGCCAGTCTGATGACTATGTGTCTTGGTGATTGCCTCTTTGTGATGGGTCTCCCAGCTGTTTGTTGAACTTCTTGTATCTGGATGTCTAAATGTCTAGCAAGCCAAGGGAAGTTTCCTCTATTATTCCCTCAGATAGATTTTCCAGACCTTGTGCATTTTCTTCTTCACCCTCAGGGATGCCTATGATTCTTATATTTGGCCATTTTACATAATCCCATAATTCTCATAGGCTTTGTTCATTCCTCTTAACTCTCTATTCATTATTTTTGACTGAGCTAATATGAAAGAGTTGTCTTGAAGCTCTGATATTCTTTTTTCTGTCCAGTCTAGTCCATTCTTAAAACTTGTTACTGTGTTTTGTATTTCCTTAAATGAATTTTTCCTTTCCAGAAGTTCTACTTGGTTTTTCTTAAATACATCTATCTCTTTAGTGAATTTTTCATTCATTTCTTGAATTGTTTTTTTGGTTTCTTTGAGCTGGTTTTCCATTTTCCCTTGAATTTCATTGAGTTTCCTTACAATCCATATTTGGAATTCTTTATATTATTTATCCTATTTAAATGTGATGTAATATTTCAACTTAATTACTTTAATACAGTCATGTATTTGATAGATAATTAATTGGAAATCTGTGCTATAATTTTCCCTTTAGTCACAACCTTGCTGGTTTGCTCTGTTTGCCTGAGCAACTGATCTGGGCATGCCACTGTCAGTGCCATTAGTTTTGTATAAAAAGCTTCTATAAGCACCTAGCCTCCAGCTCAGGGAATTCCTCCAGGCTAGCTTTCCTATCATCTGTCTTAAAATGTTTCATGAATTTAGTCCCCTTTTTTAGGCCTGTTTATCATTATATCCTAGTGCCTTTTTCTTGTCTATTCATATTTGGATTTGGTAATAAGACTTTATGCTGTACCCTGATGCTGATTTGGTAACATATATGTGGCTGCATCCAGGATTGCACCTTGATTTCACTGAACTGCTACAGTAGATAAAAGATGCCATACTTTTGCACTCACCTATGGCCTGCCTTAATATCATTTGCCAGGCATAGTGTTCCCTTTGTTCTCTGTAATCTGAGCAATTACAGAGAAATTAGGCAATGATATGCCTAGCTATTTGTCCTGAAAAACTACAACTAAAGCACTACTATGTATATCGGACCAGGGTACTTTGATAGTTAAATGTCTAAGAGGAAATAGCCACATGTGTTCTAAACATAAACCCAGATTTGTAAAGGAAACACATGAAAGGGCTGACATTTTTTTTCTAAGCAAAAACAGAACACAGCAAATGATTATGGCGCAAATCTGTGTATGTAGATAGAGAATGCAAAGCAAAGGAATCATCGTGAAAGGATGGGATTAACTGAGAAAGGCTTCCTCAAGGAGGTGCCAGGTCCTTGAACTTGATCTATTAGATAACTATAAATCTCTGTAGGTGCCAGAGGTTACAGGAGTGGCATTGGCATGAGCAGAATGAAAATTGGACAAAATGGCTGCAGCAGGAACAAATTAGAGGGGAGAGAGAAGTTGGATTCCGGTAATCCATGGATACATGGGTGGGAGGTAGGTGGGTAGGAGTGAGGCATGGGGAGTCCCACCGTATTCTGGGGTTGCTATGAAGAAAAACTATGTTTACCATGAAACAGTGACAGAAACAATGCTGGACTGGAGATCTCTAATTTGTATTTGAAGTCCTTGGAGCCTGCTGTGACTCCTCCCTCTAATCCTGCTGCTCTTGGAGGAGTGGACTCCCAAGTTCACCTAGGCTTGTATTAATTAGGCATTTCTAAGGAAAGCAGGATATGAATGAAGAAATAGTAATGCAATCCTTGGAAGATTTGCATCTCAGTAAAAGCAGCTGGCTCTTAGACCATGAATAGGTGATTTTCCATCCTGGAAAAATAAAAAAGGAGCCATCCTTCCTGGCTGGATACTGGTGCCTGGTGCCTGCTTATACATTTCAGTATTTCTTCTGCCCCCACCATCAGCATCACATCTGCTGAATCCTCAATGAGTAAAGATGCTTCAGGTGTTCTATTTCTCTGCTATTATTGTCTCAGTTATTTTTACTTTTGTAGGAATCATTACAAGTCTGTTTATTACAGTGGTCAATTACAAAACGTGGGCCAAGAGCCACAGAATCTCCTCTTCTGATAGGATCCTGTTCAGCTTGAGCATCACCAGAGTTCTTACGCTGGGATTGTTTCTACTGAATATTATCTGGTTATTCTGTTCACATTTTGAAAGGTCACACTTCGTGTCCAGTTTTTTTGCATTTTGTTGGATGTTTTTGGATTCTACCAGTCTTTGGTTTGTAACCTTGCTGAACAGCTTGTACTGTGTGAAGATTACTAATTTCCAACATGCAGTGTTTCTCCTGCTGAAACGAAATATCTCTCCAAAGATCTCCAAGTTGCTGTTGGCCTGTGTGCTGATTTCTGCCTTCACCAGTCTCCTGTATGTTGTACTCAGCCAGACATCACGTTTTTCTGAACTTGTGGCTAGTAGAAATGTCACATTATTTGATGAAGGTATCTTGTCTTTGGTGACCTCTTTGGTCTTGAGCTCATTTCTCCAGCTGATCATTAATGTGACTTCTGCTTCCTTGTTAATCCATTCCTTGAGGAGACATATACAGAAAATGCAGAGAAATGCCACTGGTTTTTGGGATCCCCATTCTGAAGCTCATGTAGGTGCTATGAAGCTGATGATATATTTCCTCATCCTCTACATTCCATGTTGTGTTGCTAACCTGCTCAATTATCTCCCTTTTTATGTAGGGTTGGATTGGGGGACCAAATCCATTTGTTTGATTTTTGTCAACCTTTACTCTCCAGGACATTCTATTCTCATTATTATCACACATCCTAAACTGAAAACAAAGGCAAAGAAGATTCTTTGTTTCAACAAATAGTGGAATTTCAGTAGTAAACACTGTCTGGAGTCACCTCACCTCATGGTTTGGGAGTAAGATTTTCTCTGTTAGCAGTTTTCTCTGTGGTCTGAGGAATTGTGATTGCTGATTTGATAGCCTAGACATTTGAGTGCTTATCTGTAATGTTTTTTGCTGATATTTTTAAATAAGTCACATTCTCTAAGAATTTGTTGGAGGCATTACTTATCATGTGTTTTGCATGATGATTGCATCCCTTGATAATGGAAATCATCACATTGTTCCATTGGCTACTGAAGTGATAATGGGAAGTTCTCCCCAATTAAGGAATACATTGCAATGCACATGATTGGTTAAATTTTTGTGGTTTAGCTGAGGAGCCCTGAATAAGGGCTCAGCAATGGGTAAATGGTCATTGGGAGCCCCCAGCCAAGGCAAGGGGGTGTGGCACAAGAAAAGAAAAAAAGGAAGGTTTCAGAGAGAAAAGGAGGGAAAGAGAAGGGTGAAAACAAATAGGTGTCTGATGTGGGACAAGACAGCAAAAGGGTCCTCACACTTGCTGGGGGGGGGGTAGTAACTGAGCTCTTACTACCAAGGAACCCTTAGGACTGAATTTCTAGGCTTGTTCTGGAAAGGAAGAAAGAGTCAGAGCTCATGGGTAGAGGGAAGTGGTTAGTATTAAAGAAGCCAAATCCAGAATAGTTCTAAGGATCTTAAAATCCAGAGAGCTAGCCTAAGGTCAAAAGCAAGTGCCAAATAGTGAAATTAACACCATCTGAGTGCAAATTTACAAAATATTGTACCTCACTGTATGATATGGAATTCAGTGGAAGGCTGAAGGAGCCCTTGGACCGATTATGAGAGTACTTGACTTTTGGTGAATTTATTTTATGTTTATGAATTTGTGTACAGCACAATTCTTTAGGAAAACACTGTTTCTGGGATTTCAACAGAAGGACTGTGCATCCAAAGGAACAGGAATCTGAAGACAAGTTTTGGACTGGGAGTTGGGGAATAATAACTTATATGTATATGGTTCTTTAGTGTTCATAAGATGCTTATGTAATATTTACACAAGTCAAAGTAAACACATTTTCAAATTCTACAAATTACCTGACTTTTTGCGTTTTAGCCTCCAGAATCTTGACTGAAACATTCAGTAAGGGTTACTCAAACCAATATTTTATTCTATGAAACCTGGAGGTATTTATTGTGTTAGAATCTTAAGATCAAGAAATGAAAGGATTATTGAGTGATTATTTGTACACTATATCATAAGTCTAAATGAGTGTCAGCAAACCCCATTGGTCCCCTAATATCTGTTCTCTCTCCTCTCTTCCATAGTAATCAAATTGTTAGCTGTGGAGAATTTTGGCAGCTAATTACGTTGTACAGCTTCCCCTGGAGTAGGTATTGCCACATTGTCAAGTTCTGCTAATAGCATGTGAGCAGAAGAGATTATGTAGTTTCTAGGTGGTGGCCCTAGAGCAATTATGCCCTCTCTTCTCTCTTTTCCCTTTTCTTCTTTTCTTCTGGCCCAGAATGCTGATGTCATGATTATCTATCTTTGACCATATAGATGAGGTGAATCCTTGGGGGTAGTGGAGTAATTATCCATCCTAGAGTTGGCTGCATGGTTCCTGACACTGTGGAGTTTCCATACCAGCTCTAGACTGCTTAAGTCTGAACTCCAGGATTGTTGATGAGAAATAAACATTTCCATTCTTTCAGGCACTGTGTTTTCGGTCTCTGTTACTTTAGTCAAACAACTTATGCTGTATCATAAATATATACAATAATGTGTATTTTTATGATAAAACAGTATGTAGTTGTTTACCATCTTATAGTCAGAGAAATTTTTATATGACCTAAGTGAAATCAAAATAAAACATGATGATACAATGCCAATTTTTATAAAAATATGTATATATGAAAAAAGTCTTAAAGAAAATACATAAAATGTAAATAGCAATTATGTTTAGGTGGGAAATGTTGAGTAATTTTTCTTTACATTTTTCAAGTTTTCTATGATCATTATTTTGTAATCAGAAAAAACATATTTTTAAATATATACAGTATATGCAGTCTGTCTGTCTGTCTATCTACCTACCTACCTATCTAAAGGACAGATAGGGAGTTCTGATGTCAACATCCAGTTTCTCCTCACTGAGAAAGGTAAGGGAATAGGCTTTATTCAATTGTTTGGATCCTTTTTCTTGTATTGGTAAAGTTCTACCAATTTGTTTCTTGGTTGTCCTACACTGTCTTCATTTTTCCTCCTCTGGGTTGGATGTGCTGTTTTTGTGTTAGAAACATTTTTGCTATTTGAAGACAGTCTCAAGTCTTTGCTTAGGTATTTGCCCAAAGCCCTCCTTAGGCACAGTTTTTAGCAATGCTGTGGATTTGGAGTTTTGTTGTTTCTAGTATGCTCTGCTAAAATATCTACCACTAAGTATTTATTAGCCAGAAATTTTTAAAAAATCATGTTTTTTTTTGGTTTGTTTTTTCAAGACATGATAATTTACAGGCTCTCTAATATCAATACTCAATATCCTGCATCTCCCAGTATTCACTGCCTTTTACAGGAAAGGGAGGAGTGTTTAAATCTCTTTGTAAAGAAGGGTCACTTTCTGAAGTGAAGGGCAGGTGTCAGGACAGTGGCTTTACAACATCCTGAAATACCCACTGTGGTAGCTATAACTCAGGGGCATTGTCATTTAACTTTCAACTGCTACAAACCCAATATTGTATGGGCTACATTTACACATACTGTTTTATTAGCTCATCCAAACTCTTTGGTAATGTAGGTATTATTGTACCCATTGTATAGCTGAGATAGTTAAGGCACCAAAAAGCTAACTAAATGGTTCATAATAGTAGAGCTAAGAAGGGTATATCCAGAGCTCCGACGGTAGTCTTTTGACTCTAAAATCCAATCCTTTTCCCACTGTATCACAAGGTAGGTGGAAAGACATAGGATATCGTGGGATCATGCTCAATTAAACAACTTTATTTTCTAGGACAAGAAGAAAATATTCAAATGATTTCTGAAGCAGTATGTGTCCAGGCTGAAAACCCACCCAGGGCTGCTGATATATATATATATATAAGGAGAGGGGCAGGGTATGAAAATCTTGTAGGGGCTTAGTTTCCTTAGCTAAAATCAATGTCATGTTGTCATATAGACTCTGGGGTTTTAGGCCCTGAAATTTATATGAGATATATTTTTTAAATGAACAAGTTGTAACATTAAAGAACAATTTTTTAAATTTTCAATGTTACCGTTTGGGAAGGAAGAAACCAATAGAAATATCGTGAGAAAGCAGATACAGTATCTGTAAGAAGTAAATAAAATTCTTAAGAATTTCAAGGATTTGAAATTTGAAAGTTTCTTTATATTGTTTAGATTTCACTTAAACATGTTTGGCTTTGGGTTTCCCTGATCATTGTTAGCAGCATTCTGTTGATGAGCTCATTCTAGTTGTGAAAGAAAGGAAAGGAAAGGAAAGGGAAGGAAGGAAAGGGATAGAAAGAAAGAAAAAGAAACAAAGAAAGAAGGAAAGGAAGGAAGGAAGGAAAGGAAAGGAAGGAAGGAAGGAAGGAAAGAAAAGGAAAGAAAGGGAAGGAAAGGAAGAAAGAGAAGCGATCACTAGGAGGGAGTCTTTTAAAACATGAATTGAAGATGGCTTCAAATGCCAGAGTCTCCAGGTAAAACTGAAACTTACTAAAGCATTTAAAATACGTTTTTGAATAATGCTCTTTTAAACAAATTAAATCTAGAGATGGATCCTCTAGTCTAGCCCACTGGTTCTCAAAGAGGGCTGGGAGGGTGAGAAGCATGTGAGAATCCACTGAGAATTTTTTTTTTTTTCGAATTTTATATGCCCCGCCTCCATTCCTGCTGGGTGTGGGAGTTGAAGGGGGAAGTGGAGTTTTACAAGCTACCCTAGGGATTTGGATATTGTAGTCTAAAGAAAGGCACAGATACAGATTTTGTTTTCCCCCCTAAGAGAACAGCCCATGGCCAGTTTCATTCCATAAGGGAAAAAATGTGAAAAGAAATTCCATGTATGTATGAGAATTTGCCTGGCCTAGAAATTAACAAGGAAGTGATATGGATTAATGGGGGTGAGAGAAGGGGAGAGGAAAGGGGAGATGTGGAGGGTAAGGACAACAGCAAGAGGAGATGCACAGTTCCTACACCCTCCTCCCCACACCTAGAGGAGGCACGAGGTCAGCATCATCTCAGAACAGCTTAATCAGTCTCTGGATTATGACTGTTTGCGTATATGGGGTCTGGGAAAGGGGGTGACTATAACTCTGCCTTGGGTCAACAGGAAGAAGCAAGATGCCCTGGGCAGATGACTGGATGTGTGTACAGCTTGCTTGCAGATGAGGTATCTAAACACAGTTACATACTTGATTGGTCCGATAGCATTTATGACTTATTTTAAATATAGGAAAATTATTTGTCTCAATTTTGCTACTTTCACAGTTAGGACAATGACTATGGTTATAATGATCTGAAATCCAGGTATCTCAGGAGAAGAAATAGTTAAATATATTGATATGTTTAACTATAAGATCTCTCCTAACTCTCACCTTCCTCTTTAAATCTTTGACTTCTGTATGTTTAAGAGGCCTGGATTAATCAATCTCTCATCTTTATTCGTGCTTTCTAGAGAGTGTGGAATTGTGCAGAACTGATTGCCTTTCCCTAGAATCAGCAACTCAGTTCATCCTGGATTTGCATACTGTGACTAAAAACTTCAGGTGCTCTCTGACTTTATTGAAAGGAGTGGTCATGGAGAGAAATCACCAAGGAAGGAAAGAAAAATAACATTAATTAAATGACACTACTTGCTAGGCAAAAAGCTAGGTAATTTTTTTTTTATCATCACAACAGCTCTGTGAGGTAAACATTATTATCATTTTTATAGAGGAGAAACTGAAGCTCAGAGGGGTTAATTGACTTGTTTAAGGACACAGCTACTAACTGGTTGGGTTTGGAGGCAAATCCA